TTGTTGTCCCACATGAGATCCTTATAGAGATTCTGCACCTCAAAGTACTTTACCTGCAGCTGTCAGTCCACCTCATAGCTATAGAAACATAGAAAACAGAGCGAGTCAGAAGGGGTCTCCCGGGCCATCTAGTCTGACCTCCGGCACCAGCCGGCTCTGCTCACGACATGCCCACCATGTGGATGTCCAGCCTATCCTTGAACACCCGCACCGATGGGGCCTCAACGACTTCTCGTGGAAGCCCATTCCATTTCTATCTCTGTCTCGCTCGGTCGCCAGATTAAAAACTGCCAAACTACTGTTACTTCCCCATAGTGTATCAAAGGTTTGTCTCTTTTATTTCTTTTAAATACAGCCCAATTCTAATTAGACATCACTTTCAGGTAAAATCATAGCAGGACTGCTTTGCAGTAGATAGATAGAAAATCCATACCCATTGTAAGAGACCATAGGAACCAATACCATGACAAACCTGGTTTGCCTTCTTGATTTGTGCCCTGTTGCTTCAACCTTTTTCTCATAATTCACCTTTTTGGTATAGACTTCGGCACAACTTCCAAAGCCCCATGTTCTCTTTATGTAAATAAGGCTGTGTCGGTCATAATCCCACTGTATTCTGTATGTGCACTTGCCTTCACTTTCCTCTCCTCCTGTTGCCTCCATTTGATTGATTTATAGATTGGAAATCCTGAAAGGAGGGATCAGCCCTCTTGAATACTATAAATAACCGTATATACTGATGGTGCTTTATAAATATATGAAAAATGCTCTGAGGCCCAGTTCAGCTACAACTATCTTGTAAGCATTCTATTGGCAAGCTCCCTTCTCTGCTTTCTCATAAGTCATAAGGAACAACTTCTGATATATGGTAAAACACCATTTTTTGTTATATGTGGAAACTCTGGTTTAATTTCTGACTACACACCAGCATGAAATCAAGAAATTTGGGTTCCTGGTGTCTGAGATGTGTATCCGTATCTTGCTTTCATTACTAGCTTTAGCTGCCTAATTTCTGTGTCCTGGAAGCTATGAAAGGCAAAAGAGCAGGCCCCCGGAGTCCAATCAAGCTCACGCCAACTGTTCCAGTGACTCCATCTAGCCACCTCACTCTCTGCCGTCCCCTCCTTCTTTTGCCATCTTTTGTTCCCAGCATTAGACTCTTCTCCAGTGAGTCCTTCCTTTCTCATTAGGTGGCCAAAGTATCTGAGTTTCATCTTCAGGATCTGGCCTTCTAAAGAGCAGTCAGGGTTGATCTCCTCTAGGACTGACCGGTCTGATCGCCTTGTGGTCCAAGGGACTCACAGGAGTCTCCTCTAGCACCACAATTCAAAGGCCTCAATCTTTTGGCGCTCAGCCTTCCTTATGGTCCAGCCTTCACAGCCATAAATTGCAACTGGGAAAACCATAGCCTTGACTATACGCACTTTTGTTAGCAGGGTGATGTCCCTGCTTTTTAGTATGCTGTCTAGATTTGCCACAGCTTTCCTCCCAAGGAGAAAGCATCTTTTAATTTCTTGGCTGCAGTCCATGTCTGTGGTGATCTTGGAGCCCAGGAAAATAAAATCTGTCACTACCTCCATTTCTTCCCCATCTATTTGCCAGGAAGTGAGAGGACTGGATGCCATGATCTTAGATTTCTTAATGTTGAGTTTCAAGCCAACTTTTGCGCTCTCCTCCTTCACCCGCATCAAGAGTGTCTTTAGTTCCTCTTCACTTTCTGCCATGAGAGGGGTATCATCTGCTTATCTGAGGTTGTTGATATTTCTCCCAACAATCTTAATTCCAACTGGTGATTCATCTAGCCCCGCCTTTCTCATAATGTGCTCTGCATATAAGTTAAATAGACAGGTCAACAGTATACAGCCTTGCCGAACTCCTTTCTCAATTTTGCACCAATCAGTTGTTCCAGGTCCAGTTATCAGTGTTGCTTCTTGACCTGCATATAGGTTTCTCAAGAGACAAATAAGATGGCCTGGTACTCCCATCTCTTTAAGAACTTGCCACAATTTGTTCTGATCCACACAATCAAAGGCTTTAGCATATTCAATGAAACAATGAAGCAGAAGTAGATGTTTTCCTGGAATTCCCTAGCTTTCTCCATGACCCAGCGTATGTTGGCAATTTGATCTCTAGTTCCTCTCCCTCTTCGAAATCCTGCCTGTACTTCTGGCAGTTCTCGGTCCACATACTGCTGGAGCCTAGCTTGTAGGATTTTGAGCATCACTTTGCTAGCATGTGAAATGAGTGCAATAGTGCGGTATTTTGAACATTCTTTGGCATTGCCCTTGTTTGGGATGGGAATGTAAACTGACCTTTTCCAATCCTGTGGCCACTGTTGAGTTTTCCAAATTTGCTGACATATTGAGTATAGCGCTTTTACTGCATTGTCTTTTAGGATTTTGAATAGATCAGCTGGAATACTGTTGCTTCCACTAGCTTTGTTGTTGCTCAGACTTCCTAAGGCCCACTTGACTTGACATTCCAGGATGTCTGGCTCGAGGTCAGTGACCACCCCATCATGGTTATCAGGGATATTAAGCTCTTCCTTGTATAGTTCTTCTGTGTAATCTTGCCACCTCTTCTTAATCTCTTCTGCCTCTGTTAGGTCCCTGCCATTTTGGTTCTTTATCATGCCCATCTGTGCATGAAACTTTCCCTTCATATCTCCAATTTTCTTGAAGAGATCTCTGGTCCTCCCTATTCTATTGTTTTCTTCTATTTCTTTGCACTGTTCATTGAAGAAGGCATTCTTATCTCTTCTAGCTATTCTCTGGAATTCTGCATTCAATTGTTTGTATCTTTCTCTTTCTCCCTTGCCTTTCGCTTCTCTTCTTTCCTCAGCTATCTGTAAAGCTTCCTCAGACAGCCATTTTGCTTTCTTGTATTTCTTTTTCTTTGGGATGGTTTTAGTTGCTGCCTCTTGTACAGTGTTGCGAACCTCCGTCCATAGTTCTTCAGGCACTTTGTCTATCAGATCTAATTCCTTAAATCTATTTGTCACCTCTACTGTATATTCATCAGGGATATGATTTAGGTCATGCCTGATTGGCCTAGTGCTCTTCCCTACTTTCTTCAACTTAAACCTAAATTTTGCAACCAGAAGCTCATGAACTGAGCCACAGTCAGCTCCTGGTCTAGTTTTTAGTGACTTTATAGAGCTTCTCCATCTTTGGCTGCAGAGCACATAGTCAGTCTGATTACTGTGTTGACCGTCTGGTGATGTCCATGTGTAGAGTCGTCTCTTGGGTTGTTGGAAAAGAGTGTTTGCTATGACCATCGTAATCTCTTGACAAAATTCTACCAGCCTGTGCTCTGCTTCATTTTGTACTCCAAGGCCAAACTTGCCTGTTATTCCGGTTATCTTTTGGCTTCCTACTTTAGCATTCCAATCCCCCATGATGATAAGGACATCATTTTTTGGAGTTAATTCTAGAAGGTGTTGTAGGCCTTCATAGAACTGGTCAACTTCAGCCTCTTCAGGACCAGTGGTTGGGGCATAGACTTGGACTATTGTGATGTTGAATGGTCTGCCTTGGATTCAAACTGAGATCATTCTGTCATTTCGGAGATTATATCCCAGTACTGCTTTTCCTACTCTTTTATTGACTATGAAGGCGACTCCATTTCTTCTGAGGGATTTTTGCCTGCAGTAGTATACCTGATGGTCATCTGAATTAAATTCACCCATTCCTGTCCATTTCAGTTCACTGATTCCTAAGATGTCGATGTTCAGTCTTGTCATCTCTTGCTTGACCACATCCAGCTTGCCTTGATTCATGGATCTTACCTTCCAGGTTCCTATGGAGAATAGATCTTTGCAGCATCGGACTCTCCTTTCACCACCAGATACATCGGCAACTGAGTGTCCTTTCGGCTTTGACCCAGTTGCTTCATTCCTTCTGGCGCTACTAGTACTAGACCTCTGCTCTTCCCCAGTAGCATATTGGACACCTTCTGACCTGAGGGGCTCATCTTCCGGCGTCGTATCTTTTTGCCTTTTGGTACTGTCCATGGGGTTTTCATGGCAAATATACTGGAGTGGGTTGCCATTTCCTTCTCCAGTGGATCACGTTTTGTCAGAGCTCTCTGCTATGACTTGTCCGTCTTGGGTGACCCTGCACAGCATAGCTCATAGCTTCACTGAGCTACGCAAGCCCCTTCGCCATGACAAGGCAGTAATCCATGAAGGAGTCAGTCTTGCCTATCACTCTATAAATGTTAATACAGTGTAAAATTTACTAACCCTCAAAAACTTGTACAAATTCTTCTATTCATACACATCAGTAGAGCCATTTATGGCTAGAAAAAAAGAAATGTGTGTGTGTACATTGATGAGGAAGAGAAGCTGAAAAAAATCAGCTCAGTCTGTTGCTCCAAAGAATAGCGAGACTGTAGTCTTCTCTTCCTCTATGAGTTCTCAGTATTACCACTGACTGTTAAAGGCAAGGAAAATGTGGGTGCTTCTGCTAGCTAAGGAGCAAAATTAGAGTATTGTTGGCAATGGAAGTAGGACAGTAAAGAGGAGGAGTCCTGGTGGACAAGGGGGCAGAAGGCAGAGCAGCTACATCTTTGTACACTTCCTCAAGGTGTAGGTATCATCTCATGGTGAGAACCCCCAATCCTCACAGTGCTCAAGCTCTACCACTCTGAAGAGGAACAAATATTCCTTTTAGAAATTAAATACCTACATTCAGGAATTTAAGTGCATGCTGCACACAGCCACCTTGGTTAATGTTTATGGACCACACTTCTGGGTCGTGTCTCTTTCCATTTTTCTTTCCATCTGTCTTACCTGTCATTTTGAGAGGCACTGTTTTGGTTGGCTAAGCTAAACAGGAAAGGGATGAAGAGGAGTTGCATGTTGTTTAATAATATTTTTATTATTAGGGTTCTTGTGTGCATATGTGCATGCATGTGCATGCATGCATGCATGAGAGTGAGAGTGTGCACGCTCCTGTAATTCAGTGTTGTCTCTCTCAGTCCTGAATTTTCTGTGTTAGGTCCAGGCACACAAGGTGCATAAGTGTGACACAACTGGTGCTATCTTTTATGATCCTGACAGCTTGGTGGGGGTCCAGTTTGTGGAGCAAAATGTCTTTCCAGATTCTGGAGCTCTCCCTGGAAAACTGTGAGTCACCTGAAAGACAGTCATTTCTGCATTCCAATAACAGACTGAGAATTTTGTCATGTTTTCTTGCTAACCATGGACTTCAACAATACCATATACCTTTGCTGAAAAATTGTTAGGAATGAGGTGATCAAAGTTTAGTGTTCTAGGGGTTACAGTACCCTATAACAAAAGTGTTAGACCTACATGTAATCATCATATTTCAATACATAATTAGAAATGGGAATAAATTTGCAAAGAATTATTTGTGGGAGTATTGTGCAGTGATCTTTGGGAAAATGGATTTCTAAAGAAAAACACAATTGCTTTTGTGATAGTCCCTGCTAAATTTTTCAGAGCGTATAGCCTGTGTGGTCAGAATGTACTGCCTAGTCCAGGCAACCTAGTGGAGCTTCTTTCACCTCACATACTTCAGTGGAACTTTAGCCTATTGAAACTTGAATATTTGGGGTCTGTTGGAACAGTTGAAAAAAAATCAGTTGCTAATTAGGCTTAACTAATTAATAATAAAATTATTTAATTGCCACAAGGCTAGAATAAGTCATGTTGTATATGCTGACAAAATGTACTAGAGCTGTCAGACCTGATTTCAGATATTTTTCTTGTGAATTGTGAATATCAAATGTTGAAAAACTTACAAGAAATGGGAAATAAGATATTTGAAATACAGTGATTTTTAAAGTACCATTTTTTCACATTTTCCTTTAGATGCAGTTTTCATTTAGAGATAGAAGATAGTATAATTGGAAGCAAAACACCATTACAAAATTCAAGCTACAGTGAGTATAATAGCCCCTCTCATTCCCTTCCCTTTCTGTCTGTTCTCAAAAGCCCTCCTTTGTTTCTCCACTGATTACAAGAATGGCATTTATAACTGATGAGAGATTACTGTTACGTTTCTCGATTTTCTGGGCTGGGGATGGTTTTTCTTTTTTCCTGAGGCTTGAATGAGTATCTTTGTAGCATGGATTAGAGAGTATAAATATAAATACTTCTTTGAAAGTAATATGATAGTTGCAACTGTTCACTAGTTTCCTATTCCATTTTCCCCAGAACTTAATAATAACTTAATAAGCTTTCTGAGTAAATACACAAAGAATTCTGATGTTAATCCATGTGCCAGCCACCGTGTGCAATTTGAGTGCCGGTACAGCTTTTATCTGAGTCATGCAGTATGTGGGAGCATTGGGAACTTAACACATGAGTGCACAGGCTCAGAATACTTTAAGTGAAATGCTCAGGCATGTGGAAACCTGCACACATAAGATTTTTGCACACCCAACATCCCAACTGAATTGTTTGGCCTAAAAGTATTAATGTCTTGCATAGTAAATAGACTGAACACAAATGTGTAACTTTATGTATTATAACAAATAAAGCCTTTTGAATGGGAAAGTAACCTTCAGCCTGTGGAGATTCTCTATTTGGCCTGCAAAAGGTTTCTGGGTTCCTCGGGGGGGGGGGGCAGTGCTGGGATACAACAGCTGGGACAATGAACCATCCTCAGCTGAGCCAGCAGCTGAAGCGCTCCCACAGCTGCCAGGCCAATCACAGCAGTTTGCTGTAAGCCAGTCTCCCTACCATGGGATGCATGGATGCAGCAAAGCATCTCTGGCTGAGTCAGTGGCTGGAGTATTCCTCGGCCATTTGCTCAGTGATGGCAGCCTCTTCACATGCCAGTTTCAAGGAAGGCCAGCCCACAACAAAACAAGGTCTCAGGTAATACATGGGCTACACATCACCTTGCCTGGGAACAAAGAACATTAAGGGTCACCAAGCCCACCCCCCCCCCCACTCTGAAAGCATCTAGAATTCACTATTGCTTGAAAGGATGTTTGAAGCTTGCTTAAAATTACCATTTCACTTTAAGGCTTGCTTCTTGATACCTATATGTTTAATATAAATAAAGCATTTTTCCATCCATGAGGGCAGATAGAAATGTATTTGAATATAGAGTTGGTATTGAAAGATTTTGCTTCCTACTTAATCTTACCAATTTAAAATATTTTTACTTTAAGAACAACCTTGCTAGATTTTGTCCAGCATACTGTTTCTAACAGGATCCAAGAGAATTGGCCCTCTCCTAATGTTCAGTAGTAATTTATTTCCTTTGTACTTACAGGTTTCATTTAGTTCAAACACATGAACATGTTTTGTAAAAATTTAAGTCTTTCACTTACTCAGCCCTTCTTTTATTATTTTTTCCTTCTCACCCTCTCACAGTTTGTATCCAGTCCACAGGCTGGAGGCTTCCCACTCTTAATCTTTACTGACAGCAGCTCTGCAGGGTCTTAAGCAGGGATCTTCCCTAGTACAGCTGAGAACCATTTGTCTGGAGACAGTGGGGGCTGAATCAGGACCCTTGTACTCACAAAGCATTTGCACCCATTTGCACTTTCTAATTTAAGTTTTATTCTGTTACTTTACATTGTTTTTTAAATGAATCATAAGTAGATATTGTGACATAATTAATTTTATGGCATTAAATTGATAATTCATAACCATATTTTTCATATAAAATGAATGCAAGTAATGTAGCCTTCTTAAAATTACAGGATCCTACATTTATGCGACCCTGGTGATAATAGAGAAACCATAAGAAATAAATCACATTTGAGAAAGAAATGTCTTCCTGGATCATATGGTGCTTTGCTTGCATGTTATCATTTTGTGTCATGCTAAAGCCATCTCAAAATCAAGATTGTGCCACAGAGAAGATGGAGAATATCGTCATTGATATCAAAGCAGCTCTTTCCAAAGGCATCCGGGGGGGAGATCCAATCCATACCACATCCTGGGAAGCCTGTGTTAATGTTTGCTGTTTAGGGAAAAAAATAGCAGGTAAAAGCAGCGTTCTTTATGTGCCTATACATTCATCACTTAGCATGTATAGGATCGCACTATAATCTGGGTGTGGTGGGTCCTGCACCCAGCACTGTAGTTTTAAATTCTCTTAACAACCATTCATTCTCTTTCTCTAGGGAACCCCTGGAACTGGTGTACTATGCAGGGGCTGAGAAGGATGAAAATGCTGGGAATTTTGTCAAACTAGGGTTTCCAGGATTTTGGGTGGCGAGCCACAATAGTTGAAACTGATATAAAGCCAGTGATGTAGTGAAGACAGTGCTCACAGTGTTGATAAATAAAGCTGACTTTATTTTTGGAGTCTCTTTGGGGCTTGTCATTCAGCACCTGCACTTCAAAAAGTACCATTATACCACTGTGTAAAACCAAAATAAGTTATACCATTGATATGTTCATTAACTGCTCATATACCCCACTGGTATGTGGAATGAGGAACAAAAACAAACTGGAAAGTCTCTCAGCTGGAAACAACTGAATCAGACCAAGATCCATTTAGCTGAGCATCAATTTCCGGAAGTTTGCAAGCAGGGCATAATGGGAAGAGCCTCCTTCATTGTTTTTCCCTATAGCAGCCTGAATAGCAGATCTCTCTGAACATAGCGGTTCCAATTAGCTATTACAGATAAGAGATCTTTACCCCTTGCAGTCTGCTGGAGCTGGAGGAGGATACAGACTCAGCCGTTTCTCATTAACCTCCCAGGTTGCCAGGTTTCACTGAAGTCTCAGGGTCTTCCTTATGAGATGAACTAAAAACTTAGGTCAAAGAAAGATTTGTTGATTTTTCACACAGATCTCACAAAAGTTCTTGTCCTCTTAAGGGCATTAGCCAAGGCATGTGTCTTACTTTATGTGGTAAATATGAGATACTTAATGGAGAAATTATTTAAATTCTTACCTAGAAAACCTAAAGGAGACATTGACAACATGGAAACCTGCAGAATTGGATTTAGTAATCATTGGTATTTGACTTGGCTGTTGGTTTTTTAGAGTGTGTTTAATTTTGTCATATTTTATTCATTACGTAATATTAATTTCTCATTTTATATGGGAAATCAGCAAGATTATAAGCAGTAGACCTGAAGTGAAACATTTTGGGGTGAAGGGACAGAAGAAAAGAAGGTCCTCCTTTAAGTCATTTTTCTAGGCTATATCCTGAACCTCCATGCATATCCCTGAACCCTCCTCCAACTGCTGGCAGCAGTGCCCCACCCTTTACCTCCAGGTTCTCACCCCGATTCTTAGGAAACCTGAGAGCTTCAGCCCACATCCTTGTTGATAGTCACATTACCTCGCCAGCCTTTTGAAAGCATTTTGCACACTCTTGCAGCAACTTAGAGAGGACAGTTGCTCTTAGAATGCACATGATAATGGCTTCTCTCAAAAAGATAACTATTGGGGAGGGGGGCAGCTAGGATAGAGGTAGATGGGGGGGGGGATGCACACATAGTAGTCCTGGCAGCATCTCCCACAGCATGAGGCAATACCTCTCCCCAGGGAACTGTGGAGGATAAAGTGTTAATTTAGGTTTATCACTGCTTAGTCATGAAGCTCCCCTGATGTTCTTGGGCAAGTTACCACTTTCTTTCCCTAACTTACCTCATAGAATTAAGACCCCTCTTAGGCTGCCTAGTGTGTGATAAGAATAGTGTGAGACATTAATAAGCCCATTTCACTCAAATTTTTCCCCACCCATCCCCACCATCTTGGGTAGGAAATAATACCTAAGTACTTATCTAAGCTGGGTAAGGTGTGGGGAAAGACAATGAATCTCTAGGTAACATTACATTATCATATATGCTCACACTACAAAAGCATAACAGAAGTCTGGTTTCCACAGAAGTTGTGGGGTGCTGTGTATGCATTGTGCAGGGTACATGATTTATTTATTTGCTTATTAAAACATTTTTATGCCGCCCCATTCGCTGAAGCCTCAGAGCGGCTTACAACGTTAAGTTAAAAAAATAATTATAACATTAAATTAAAAAATACAAACATTAAGTTAAAAAATGCAAAAATACCAATATAAAATAAGCCGCCCTGGCCAGATAAAATCCAATAATATTAACAATTAAAATGCCGCTTAAATAAAATAAAATGATGGGATGGTTCTCCACTTTAAAAAAAAAATCCTTGCACATGGAAAACTAAATGTCGGATGGAAGGTTAAGCAATGACCCCTTTTCCTGACTGACTAGGTTTTTAGGTGCATATAATTTTTTTCTATCTGGAGATTTATCAGTTATGTGAGTCCCCACCTGCTTTCTGAAGTGCATAGCTCAGCCTCAGTAAGAACAAAGGTAGAAAAACAGAATGTTGAGGATTGTTACCACAAAGCCAGATACAAAATGTCTTGCTGTTACAATATATGTAGGCTCTCTGTTTGTTTTTCAGACAAGATGTGCAATTACGTCATCTTTAATGCCAGAATGAAACGTAGTTATCCAAACTGCTACCTCTTTTATTATCCCATTAAAGAAACCTGCCCAGTGAAGCAAGCTTTAGGAATGGTGACCTATAGAATAATAAAAGGTAAATGATGATACAAATTAGTTGATTCGTTTCTGTTTCTGGGACACTGGCTTATTCAAAATACATGTACCTAATTCTCTATCACCAACTGCTTGAGACCGCATACAGAATATTTTAAAACCCAGATTCCATGACTTGGTTTGTACATAATGACACACCATGGTTTACGTAGCCATAATTATTGAATCATAAATTGCTATTACATGGGAACCCAGAACTCTGGGTTGTTTATCACAAACCCTCCAGAAGATAACTCATGGTTCACTGTTCGGTTTTGAAGTATGAGTTATTTAAACGATGGATTATCATTACATACAACCCAATAGTGAGTTGCTTCACTGGCCACAGAGACATCAGTAGGAAATCCCAACCTCTTTAGATGACAGTACTGCATTGCTGAAAGTCAGACTGGACTTAGGGATGCAGTAATTGTTTTGTACCCTAAAGGTGGCATAATCATATGCTAAATAGCTTAAGGGTGCAAATCTATGGTCTTCTGCTCTGACTGGGGAAAGGGGGGAGGTGTAGAATGATTAGAAGTGACCTCGTAAGCTGGGACTGTAAACACAGAGCCCCTAGCCCAGTTCCCTTGTAGTTGATGCAGAGCACTGGCTGCTTCTCCAAGGCTGAAAAAGTTGGGAAGCTGGAAAATGGAGGTGCTGGAGGCAGGGAGGCTCTGACCAGTGGCTCCTTCCATTTGCACATGACACCCCAGTCTCTTTGCCGCCTCCTCTGTAGCACCTCATCTAGATGGCCAAAGATGGCCATCCAGATGAAATGCAGAAGACAAGGTGTGGGATGGCGGCAGTGGTGGCCACTGCACTGTGCTTCCTGCCTGCATGGGATCTGTGTTCAGACCTCCTGTGCATCAAGGGCAAAGGACACTAGATCACACTCTAAGCATAACAGAAGATTCCTGAATTGAATTAGATTCCTGAATTGCTTTGAACCCCCATGCATACTTCAAAGGAGTGTCATACTGAGAAAGGCCTGGATCAGAATCATGGGCTCAAGTTATAGGAATTCAATTTGTGACTGAATGTCAGGAAAAAGTTCCTGACTATTACAGCAATATAACACTGGGACCAATTACCTAGGGAGTTTTCCCATGCTGGAGGCAGACAAAAGGCAATTGGACACCCATCTGTTAGGGATCCTTTAATTGAAGTCCTGCATCGAGCAGGGGGTTGGGCCCAATGGCCTTATTGGCCCTTTCCCACTCTGTTGACCAGTGATTCTGTTAAGTTCAGTAAAGCACAAGCGCATTTTAAAGCCAACTCTGAGGCACTGAGGTCAGCAAAGAAATCTATGATTCCAAGCCACACTGATGCCAGTAGGAGACAGTGAAGAATGTACTAGCTCCTGCATTGAAATGAATAGGATTGTTCCATCTTTGAACTGTGTCACTTCTAGCTACACTGAACAGGATAGCTTCATGATTGCTTAAGCTTATATTTAAATTGCTGATGGCATTTTAATCATTATAATCCATCATATTAATGCATCTTTTTAGAGGATGGCAGTTAGGAAGCGGTAATCCAGCACAGGTACAGATCATCAGGGTAGGGAAGGCTGTCTTGGGAGAAGTATGCTCCCTTTTCTCACACCCCTTTTAAGATGCTGCCTTATGTGTAATAGAATGCATCTAGTAGCCATAGGATTGCACGCTTGATTTCTCTTGTTTTTCATGTGAATTCAGTGTAAATTGTGCAATGCAGGTTGTGAAACTAAGTTCACATTGCAGTGAAGTTCTTGTCTATTGTTAAGAATGTCTGCCTAGTAATTCATAATTACTGTCCACTTATGGACATGGCAAAAGTTAATTTGGATGAAGGATCTTTTTAAAGCAGTGCTAATATGCTGTGCACAGTATCTGTTTAATTTAGCTACTAAGGCCTTCCAAATGAACACAACAGATTATTATTATGAAAACACATTTGACTGATCCAACAGATAGGTGGAATGTTTTCTTGCCATACTGATATGAACAATTGCTTCAGAAAGATTGTTTGCAGAAAATAGAAGTACTGTCATACAGATAGAAATGTTTGAGAGATGTGCATTATATTAGTGCATTCACTGTAAGCTCTAAGCATATTTACTTGCCTGATCCCATGCTTGTTTAGTCAGAAATAATATCCACTGAGTTTGGTAGAATATTTAACCTTGGAGAATAGCTCCAAGGTTCTTTACCTGGCACTGAAAAGACTATAATATAGGCACCATGCAAGCCTCTTTGGGCAGGCCATTCCACATGTGGGATGCTGTCACGTAGGCTCTTGTTGTCAGCTGCTTTACTTCATTTGGTGGAAGCATCTGGAGGAGACCCTCAGATGTCCAGGCAGGTACTACCTTAATATCCAGGTAGGTAGAAGCCATCTAAACTGGTTTCAAACTTTTAAAAGTTAATGGTTTCCAAGCAAGGCACCATGAAAATTATAGTTCTTTGTGCCCTTACAAAAAATAATAATTAGCAAATATGCAATCTCTAGACTTCTTTGGGAGAAGATGGTAAGCCACTGTAGCTCTGAGTAAACAGGATGAGACTGCAGGGTATACTATACTAACAAGTGCAGGGTAATGATCTTGCAATAAACAGTTTAATTATTAAGGTATAATAATGAAATATCTTCTTTTTTCTTTTTTTTAGACCTAGCGTTTTTCCAGGTTACACCTTCCCCGATCAAGTCTTCCCAACCCACTGTGACTGGGAACTTTGTCGCTCCCCAAACTACCATATCTGATCCTCACAGTTCAGCCAGTCATTTACATTCATTGAGTCCTACACAAAAGCCCACTGACCCCAAGGAAATGGCTGTCTTGGGCTACATGGGGAAACCATTAGTTAAGATCAGTGGACACTCCAAGAATCCAAAAGATGAAAGGGGAAACAGTTCAGAGAACATAAATTCTTCACCAGTGCATGAAAGCAGAAGTTCATTGCTCTCAAGTACCCAGCTGCCTATTGTTTCTACCAGCACCCAGGCTGGTACTGTTGCTTTTGTAATTCCTCCAGTATCTCCTAGCACGGCAACAACCACAAGGTCTACCACAACTTATTATGAAAAAATGCCTACGCCAACTGTTAGTCCGCTAAGTACCACTATCTTCCAGTCATCAGCCATTCCTGGAACTAGTGCCAGCAATCTCAGCTCGTTGTTTTCTAGTCTGCCTGCTCATATTTCCTCAGCTTCTTTACACAATGCCCATCTTAGTAATGGGCAACAGGTTTCAGAAAGTCATCTCCTCGATGGAATTCCAGATACAAAAGACTCCTTTTACCATGGTGACAAAACCATACTTTTTGCTGCATTGCTTTTTGGGGTGATATTCTTTGTCTTGATTACAGGACTGGTAGGCAGAAGGATGCTTGAATCTCTTCAGCAAAGGCACTACACTAGGCTGGACTACCTGATAAATGGCATGTATGCCCATTTGTGACAAAAGGTTAACATAAAGAAATGTATTAGTGATTAGCCATTTGTAGGCCTTATGAAAAGGTGGATTGGATTTATCATCGTGGAGGACATGTTCTTTTTCATCTAATCATTACACTCTTTTCACAATGTTTAGACATTCTCACATAATGTTTGTTTGCAATGTATCACGTCAAAATTGTATGTTGGGTTTCCGGTTTTGACCTCAGGAGTTCTGTGATAGATTTGATGTGCTCTTTTCACATAATAAGCATAATGACGGCATTATGTTTATGTGGGATTTTCTTTGGAAAGAAAATATTTGTCTGCCAGATCAATTTGTGTAGCAGTCAGAGTGGTAAGTCTGGCAAACACCATGCAGCCCCTTTTTCCTCCATGGTCTGTCAAAGTCATTCGCCCAGGCACAACTGTTATGGAGTTACTATGCAAATAGTGTGCTTTTAACTACCAATGGTAATATTGCATTGCTTATACTTCCTGCTTCCTGTTCTTACCTTTGACCCAGATGCAGTAATACAGTCCTTCATGACTCCTCAGACTAACAGCCTGCAGTGTCATCAGTTCTATACATGAAACATGGTGTCAGAAGTGACTTGAATCTGGACAGAGCCTCTTGTTTGGAGTGCAGCAGCCCTGGAACACAGCACTGATTTGTGAGTTACAGCTTGAGACCGTTCATTGTGCATTTTCTGATACTGGAGGGCTGTGAGGCTTACCAACATCATGGCTGCTATGAATTGCATACTTCCCCCAGAGGGGATGAAAATCAGTGGGGATTGTAGCAGCACTGGGAAACTTTCAGAGCTGAATGTGAGGATTACTCCCTGGCTACAGGGCTGAATGAAAAATCAGCAGTGCAGGCAGCCACTCTGAGAAGAGTCATGGGCAGTGAATGCAGGCATGTGTATAAGCACAATCTGAACCTCTCAGCAGCAGGAGAATGTTACAGCCATTCTGGATGCTCTAGGAGCTTATTTCAAACCTGCTAAAAATGTCATTTATGAAAGATATGTGTTTGGATGCTGCAAACAAGAGGAGGGAGAATCTCTTGACAGCTTTGTTACTTGCTTACGAGAAAAAGCAGCAACTTATGAATATGGCACGCTGAAAGATGAACTAATAAGGGACAAAATTGTCCTTGGTGTATCTATTGAGAGCACACGCAGGTGTCTTCTAAGAGAATGTGACTTAACGCTAAACACAGTCATTGAAACGTGTCGTACAGCAGAGCTCACTAACAGACATCTGAAAGTGATGGAACAGGACAGACAGACTGACAGCATAAACATTGCAGTGCAGCAATGGCACATAAGCAAACCGCAAGGACAGCAATACATGCTTAGCGCAAATGCTGCCAACTCTACAGCATGCAAATATTGTGAGACTGTGCATCAAAGCATTAAAGAGCAGTGTCCAGCATATGGGACATCTTGTATGTCTTGTAGAAGAGCAAATCATTTTGCTAAAGTTTGCTTGTCAAGTAAAAAACAAGTGTCATCTGGGAAATTACACGCTATGGAGGATGCACCTGCATATGAGGAGGAGCCACACACCGCTGAAGTGATATACAGCAGTGAATTAATCGGTGCTCTGCAATCCAGAGAAAAGAAATGGTTTGTCACTTTAATATTAAATAATAAGCCTCAATCCTGCCAGCTCGATTCGGGAGCGACATGTGATGTAATGTGCTTGAGAGACAAAATGACGTTAGCACCGAAAGCACCTCTACTGTCAAGTGACACCAAACTAAAGTTATACTCAGGTGAAATTATGAAATCTCTTGGACTGTTCAGGACATAATGTGTCGTACGTGGACAAGCTAGAGTTTGAAATTGTGGAAGCTTGCCAAAAGTCACTTATCTGGCTCAACCTGTAAGTGTCTAGGGCTGATGCACTTCTCCATCCCTGCAGAGCTCAATGTGATGGACAATCAATTTAAAGGGCCCTTGACAAAACAACTGTTACTACAGGAATTTGGTGGTATTTTACAGGGCCTGTTGAATCTGTTCCGGGGGAAGTTCATTTTGACCTTGATGTGAGTGTCCCTCCAGTCCAATATGCACCACACAATGTGCCAGTGGCCTTGAAGCAGGCAGTTAAGGCACAGCTTGACCGGTATGAGGCTGATGGTCATATTGCACCAGTGACTGAACCAACTGATTGGATTAGCAACATGGTGATTGTAAAGAAGCCTGATAAGCTAAGAATATGCATAGATCCCAAATTTTTGAACCAGGCACTGAAACGATCTCATTACATAATGCCAACTCTCAAGGATGTTTTGTACAAGCTGCCTAAAGCACGTCTGTTCACACTTGTTGATGCCTGGGATGCATTTTTGCAGTGTAAGTTGGATACTGGAAGTAGCTACATGACAACCTTCTGGACTCCCTGGGGCAGGAAAAGGTGGCTCAAACTGCCTTTTGGAGTCTCAGTTGCACCAGAGGTGTATCAACATAAACAACATAAACTATTGGCCGGACTTAAAGGTATTGAACCAATAGCTGATAACATACTTGTAGTTGGCTGTGGTGATACAAATGGAGAAGCACAGCAAGATCATGATCGCAAACTGCTGGACTTGATGAATCATTGTAGGCAAGTGAAACTGAGACTTGGAGTGAAAAAACAGCAGTTCAAGGTCAAAGAGCATGATAAGGCAGTGCAGGAAATCAAATGTTTGGTCACGGATACACCTGTCCTTAAATACTATGATGGTACAAAACTGGTAACTATTCAAAGTGATGCAAGCAAAAGTAGACTCGGGTGTTGCCTGTTGCAAGCTGGACAGCCTATCACTTTTGCTTCAAGGGCACTGACCCCTGCAGAGCAAAACTATGCACAAATTGAAAAGGAATGTCGCAAGATCACGGCAGAAACTGACCATAAGCCTTTGATATCTAATTTCAAGCAACAGCTTTTGTGTACACCTAAGCGCTTACGGAGCATGTTGCTCATGTTACAAAACTATTGTCTCAATGTGGTTTATAAACCTGGACCTGAAATGTACATCAGTGACGCTCACACAGTTTGCAATGTTCAACAGGACCTGGATGTCCTGTCACAGATTAATAATTCAGACTATTTAAACATCACAGACCAGTGACTGCTTCAGATAAAAGAGCACACAGAAATTGACGAGAGTTTGCAAGTACTTAAACCTGTTCTGAATGACTGGCCAGATTCAAAGGAGGAGGTGCCATTAATTGTGAGAGAATACTGAACTTTCAGAGACAAAATCGTCATTCAAGATGTCATACTATATAAGGGGCCAAGAGTCATCATTCCTAAATCTTTGAGATTGGAGATGTTGAAACGCATTCATGCCAGTCACATTGGTGGAGAAGCATGCTATAGGCAGGCACAAGATACCCTTTACTGGCCCAACATGCAGAATGAGATTAGAGACTCCGTTAGTCATTGCTCAGCATGCAATGAGTATGCACAAGCACAGCAGAAAGAACCCATGATGTCACATGTGCTGCCCACCCGGCCTTGGCAAATTGTAAGTATGGATTTACTGAATTATGTGGGGCAAGATTTTCTACTAATTGTTGATCACTATTCTGACTTTTGGGAAATTGAGCTCCTTCCTGACCTGTCTGCTGAAACTACAGTCAGGCATTGTAAAGTACAATTTGCACGTTATGGCCTACCAGATAGGGTAATCTCAAATAATGGACCCCAATTTGCATGTGAGCAATTCAGAAGGTCCTCTACAAATTGGGGATTTGTGCATGTTACCTTATCCCCCCCACCCCCGGCACCCACAAGCTAATGGCAAAGCAGAATCAGCTGTAAAGATATTGAAGAACCTTTTCAAGAAGTTCAAGTATGATGGTAATGACCTGTGGAAGGCCATTCTACATTGGAGGAACACCCTGACCGAAGGCATGGACAGTAGTCCTGCACAGCGTTTGATGTCAAGGAGACTGAAGACTTCATTGCCTGTGGCCAACAAACTGCTTGAACCTTCTGTGTTTACAGGTGTTCTGGAGAAACTGCGACAAAGGAAACAAACCTCCAAACTGACATATGACGTGTCTGCCAAAGACTTACCTGAACTAAGCATTGGAGAGCCAATCCGTATGAAGCCACTTCCTGACGACAGGAGTGGTCACTGGAGACTGGGTACCTGTGTTCAGAGGATTGCCCTTCGCTCTTATGTTGTGGATGTGGATGCCAGTCTCTACCGTCGCAATCAAGTGAATCTGCGAGTGGCAGAACAACCCACCTCACAAGCTTATGAGAGTCCTGCACATGATTCTCCAGAGGTGTTCAATGCCCCTAGTCCTGCTGGACCAAGTAAGCAATATAGAGACAAGACTACTGTCATAGCTGAAGGAAACAATGAGGATGAAATAATGCAACCGCACATACCAGTAAGTTCTTCTGTGCCAAACACACCAGTCAGGAAACAGGACAGTTTCTTATCAACACCTTCTGGAGCTAAACAGCTTTCACCAGGCAAAATCCTTGTGGCCTTGCGAAGCAGCCGAGTTTCAAGACCTCCAGATAGACTTAATCTGTAGCCTATCTACTAGTAACACAGTATGTTATGTTTAAGATTGTTCGGGATCTGCTTTTAGGTTAATTGTTTACACATTGTTGAATTATATGTAAAAAAGGGGAGATGTTATGGAGTTACTATGCAAATACTGTGCTTTTAACTACCAGTGGTAACATTGCATTGCTTTATACTTCCTGCTTCCTGTTCTTACCTTTGACCCGGATGCAGTAATACAGTCCTTCATGACTCCTCAGACTAACAGCCTGCAGTGTCATCAGTTCTATACATGAAACAACAACCATTTTACTCATTAAGGCCAAGTACTACAGAAAGAGGATGCAAAACTTCCTTTTCATACTGCCTCAGCTTAATGGAATGCATTTCCACAATGCTATACTGCCTTCCCATCTCCTGTGTTATATGCAGGTATTGGAGAAAAGCATGCCATGTTGCAGACAACACAGGAAGATATTACACCTTTCACACCGGCACACAACCCAGTGGTGGTTATAATGCTTGGTCTAAATTAAAACAGGAATAAACAAATTGCTGCAAGAAGCATGAGGTGGCTGCTGCTACTGCTGAAAATGACCACTCACTGCCATGGTCCTGGTATCATGATAATACACGATTCCCTGATCCTGTTGGTAGGGACAGGAAAAGCATGACATGGGAACCACATGGAGTAAACTGTTGGCAGGGGTTCTCTCATGCCCGCTGGCCTCCATTTTTGAGGCCTCGTGGAGAACAGGTGAAGTTCCAGAGGACTGGAGGTTGGCATCAGTGGTCCCAATTTTCAAAAAGGGTAGTAGAAGGGACATGGGGAATTACAGACCAGTTAGCCTTACGTCCATTGTAGGAAAAACAATGGAAAGGCTCATAACAGAGAGAAATCTAGTGATGCTAGATAGGGAAGGGAGGCTGACAGCCACACAACACGGCTTCTGCAAAAACAGGTCCTGCCAGACAAACCTTGTGGAATTCTACAACAAGGTTTCGAGGTGGCTAGATGGAGGGGATGCAGTGGATGTGGTTTACCTGGATTTCAGCAAGGCCTTTGACCAAGTGCCCCATGATATCCTGGTGGAGAAACAGAAGGTTTGGGATACACCAAAGCACTGTCTGGTGGATTAGGGCATGGTTGACTGACCGAAAGCAGAGGGTAACCATTAGTGGGAAATCATCGGGATGGCAGCCAGTGACAAACAGAGTCCCCCAGGGCTCTGTCCTGGGGCCGATCCTGTTTAAACTTTTTATTAATGACATGGAAGAAGGGGTGAACAGCCTGCTGACCAAATTCGCAGACGATACTAAAATGAGCAGTGGCCACAACTGAGGAGCAGGTACTCCAGATCCCAAAGGATCTGGACAGACTATGGAAGTGGGCAGGAGACAACAGGATGGTGTGCAATGTGGATAAGCGCAAGGTCTTGCACTTGGGCCATAGGAATAGCTGTCATAAGTACAGGTTAGGTGACAAGTGGCTGGAGGGTGCTGGTTGACCGCAGGCTAAACATGAGTCAGCAGTGTGATGCGGCGGTCAAGAGGGCGAACGCCACCCTTGGTTGCATAGCCAGAAGTGTGGCTTCTAGATCGAGAGTGGTATTACTACCACTCTATACAACTCTGGTGTGCCCGCAACTGGAGTATTGTGCTCAGTTTTGGGCCCCTCATTACAGGAAGGATCTAGCCAGGTTAGAGTCAGTGCAGCATAGGGCCACAAGGTTGGTGGCCGGTTTGCAGGGGATGCTGTATGAGGCGAGACTGAGGGAACTGGGTCTCTTCAGCCTGGAGAAGAGGAGACTCAGAGGGGATATGTTGGCGACATACAGGTATGTGAGGGGGTGTCACATGGAGATGGGTAGAGACCAGTTCTCCCCTACAGAGGAAGGCAGGACGTGCTCCAACAGAGCAAAGCTCTGGTTCCAGGGAGCCAAGGTTCCATTTAGATGCTAGGAAGCACTTCCTGACAGGACCCTGAGGGTAAGGAATGGGCTTCCATGGAATGTGGTTGAGGCCCCATCAGTGAGGGTGTTCAAAGATAGGCTGGACATGCCCATGGTGGGCATGTCGTGAGTGGAGCTGGCTGGAGCTGGGGGTCAGACTAGATGGCCCAGGAGACCTCTTCTGACTCGCTTTGTTTCTATGTTTCTATGTACTGATGCTTTCTGGATATGTTGAACAGCAACAACCCATCATTTTCAGCTAGCTTGTCTACTGGAGGGCAGGTTGGGTATGGCTGTACAAGGTCATATTGCAGCGAGCGGAGAGGGACTTGACACGGGGCTGCCTTTATTTGCATCAGTCCTAGGTTCCTTGTACCCATTTAGTTCTTCTTTGAGATATTGAATTCCTCACTTGTGAATGATTGCGCCATGAGATAATTAAAATAAGTAGTATTTTCACCGGCCTCTCCAAGCCTAGTGCCCTCCAGATATTTTGCACTACAACCTCCAGCATTCTTAACCATTGATTATGTTTCTTTGGGCTGGTAAGAGTTGGAAGTGGAAAACATCTAGCGGTTGTGGAGAATCTGATTTAGACAGTCTTCCCAGTTAAACATTCTGTTCAGTCTCTGAAAATCATACCCTACAGCTGCTTCATTGTACTTTGTAATTCAATTAAAACAAATTTAGTTTGATCTTCTGAATGGCTTATTGCTCTTTTTAATGTTTTTGACATAATTACCTGCTGAAATTCTTGGTACAAATGATTATAGTTGGGAGGAATATCAAGTATCGCATAGATTCACAAGCTGCAATGAGAGGCTTCTTCAATTAACTATTCCTGGTAGATTCAATGCTACTCTCTCCTTAAAGACCTACAGGAAAAACAAGTGTGTGTTTTTCTCCCTCTCTGGACTGCTTGATTTGTTATTGTTGGGAAAATTTGGATAAATCCTGTCTGAAAAGCATTACTTCTGTGTGCGTTTTTCATTGTGGAATCAAATCCTGTACTCCTTCTCAAAACCAAGCTGTACTGTTTAAAATGGCATTCCCTGCTCCTTTCTTTCACCTTTAGCTGTAAGCTACAGTACACAGGCCATTTAGTCCAAATTTACATTGTATACCTTCACAATGATTAAATAATCATTGTTGGAATTCAGTTTTACAAGGAAGTATCTTCCTAGCCCAGGGCTTCATATGCCCTGGTCACTCAGAATGTTTAGAGTCTAGAAAAGAGTCTGAGCTTATCATGAAATAGTTTCTCAGTAGCTTGAATTTGCATGTCCAAGCAGACCTGGAGGTGGGTTCAAACTACTGAACTAAAGTGTCAATACACGGCAATTAGAAATATTGTAATCTCATTGTTACTGTATGATTGACTGACATTCCTTTATCTGTTCTGTATGTGATGACCTCAGAATCTTATTGTAATGTCTGCATTCTGTCATCAATTACCCTGTACCTGTGTACCTATAAAATACCCTCAATGGTATTGAAGCTTTGCAGCAGAGTTTACCTCTGCCTGCCCGGTAATGCATGCATTATCGTGAGTACCGCGGGAACCTTGGGTAATACAATAAAGCCTCAGATGGTCTGGACGCTTGATCTTTCCCACGAACCTGAGTTTTATTTCCTCTTCTCAAATTGAGATTTCAGGATTCTGTCATTGGCCAGCATATCCTGACCTCAACGTTAAATCTACTCTACTGGTGTTGAAATTCATTGGACGGAGTTCTATGACTGCAGGTTTGGGGGTAGCTTTCATCTGCTTCCCCGCTTCATACACCTGTCAGTGCTGGAAGAACAGAAGGGCTCATGACCAGTCCAGCTCTTCCACACTGGCAGAAAAGTGAGGCAGAAACCTGGAGTGGATGTGTGTGAGGGGAACCAGCTGCCTTGCACTCAGCTGCAAAACCCATGGGTAGCCAGTGTGGCCTGCCACTCAGTCACAGCCAAACAATGGGGAGGGAGGAAAAAAGAGAAGCACCCCTCCCATTGGTGAGCAACTTGATCAGCAAGGGGGTAGGTGCTTTTCCATATCAAAGCTGAGTACAGTGGTGAGAGAAAGAGGCACTCCCCCTCCAGCTCTTCCCCACCCTTGCCTGCTGTAGCTCCCATGAGTGCTGCACCAAACAAGGGTGGCACAATTGGGTGGGCTTGCTCTCTGCCCAAGCAAAGAAACTTTAGTTGATTAGTCAAATTAATTTTAAGCCAGCAGTCTAATGCAAAAAGCCATTCAATTACCAATACTGGCAAGACAGAAGAAAACATAGAAACTTCCACAGCAATGCCTGTAAAGATTTGCCATAGTTTTCCTCCCCAGGAGCAAGCGTCTTTTAATTTCTTGGTTGCAGTCCCCGTCTGCTGTGATCTTGGAGCCCAGGAAAATAAAATCTGTCACTGCATCCATTTCTTCCCCATCTATTTGCCAGGAAGTGAGAGGACCGGATGCCATGATCTTAGTTTTCTTAATGTTGAGTTTCAAGCCAACTTTTGCACTCTCTTCCTTCACCCACATCAAGAGGCTCTTTAGATCCTTTTCACTTTCTGCCATTAGAGTGGTATCATCTGCATATCTGAGGTTGTTGATATTTCTCCCAGCAATCTTAATTCCAACTGGTGATTCATCTAGCCCCGCCCTTCTCGTGATGTGCTCTGCATATAAGTTAAATAGGCAGGGCGACAGTATACAGCCTTGCAGAACTCCTTTCTCAATTTTGAACCAATCAGTGGTTCCGTGTCCAGTTCTCACTGTTGCTTCTTGACCCACATATAGGTTTCTCAAGAGACAAGATGGTCAGGCACTCCCATCTCTTTCAGAACTTGCCACAATTTGTTGTGATCCACACAATCAAAGGCTTTAGCATAGTCAATGAAGCAGATGTTTTTTCATAATGAATTGTATCACATCACTGCTAACCTCCTCCCTGTCTTCCTCAGTGGAATCCTCCTCAGCATGTGCCTTCTGCTTTTCACTCTGGAGTTGAGCAAGTTCTTCTGTTGTCAGATCCTCTATGTCTTCCCTGCACAAACACAACTGCGATCGTGGCCATCTCCCCACTCGGGATGGTGGTGGTGAGAGGGCTGCGATTGTGCTGGTTGAGGGTGGGGGGAGATGGCCAAGATTGCACTCATCTTTTCTGTAGGAGCGCACCCATGATCGTGCGTGTCTTCCCTGCACAAACGCAACTGCAATTGTGGCCAACTCCCCACTCGGGTGGAGGGTGGGGAGATGGCCACGATCTCGGTTGCCACCCAATGCGGGGTTCATGACCCAAGTCAAAATTTTCATGAAATTTTTGTTTGTGA